ATAATAATATTGTAGTTATAAATTATAAAAAATATAAATTTATAAATTTATAATTATAATGTGATATTAAATAAATAAAATATAAAATTAAATATTATTTTCAAATCTATAATTTTAAAAAATAATAAAAAAGATTATTTTAGGACAAAATGAGTAAGTAATTAGTAGATGATTAAGGAATAAGTAATAGTTCATCCACTAAGCAATTGGCAATGTTATAGTTACAATGCCACGTATGATTGTAAATTTATAATTATAATGTGGTATTAAATAAATATGACTTTGCATTAAACGAATATATACATACCATATTATAAGTAGACTCTTAAATGAAAAAAAGTCAATTATATAATGATATATCATGTTGTAGACTTATAATATCACGTAACATTGTAACTATAGCATTTTTACTAAGCAATATGTATTCCTTACTTTGCACTAATTAATGTTAATGAAAAATAATGATTTCAAGGAATACATGTCCTTAAGTTGATTGAGAAATAATCATTACTCCATCTCTATAGTGTAGTAAACATGGATGATTGTTTTTATTATCTTTTGTTTAGTTTAAAGAGAGGGGATGGAAGATGAGGGGAGGGAAGCAAAGGAGTTTTTCTTTATTTCCTCTTATAATTTTAGCATAACTAAATAGGGAAGGAGGGGAGGGAAGAAAAGGGGGTTGTCTCTACTTTGTTTCTCTCAAACTAGATAAGGGATAGATGTAAGTTTCTACAGTAAAGTAAAAGAACTCAAAAAATGCAAGATTAGAAAATTTTAGAACAAGAGCTTCTCTGATATGGAGCTCTCTTTTCATTTCAGGTTAAATTGCAAGACATAAGAGTTGTTGAAAAAAACATGCAGCACATACATATTAGTTTTTGCAAAAAAAAAAAAACCACCAAAAAACATAAACTTTAACTGCAGAAAACATACACTAACTATAAAGGCCAAAGCCCCTATTTGCACCCTACACTTAATTGTTTTCCACGGTCAACACCTTCCGGAATTTTTC